TCATTGTACCGGGTCATATTCTATATAAAATTCGTTGACACACTCTCACATATTGGAAAATTTTTCGACTGTTTGCTGTCATTTAAAAATCAAAAATGAAATAATTTAATATCAAACGATAACAGTCTGGTAGCAAAGTAATGACAAAATTAAAAATATTGAATTGAAGGTTGAATTACCACTTATCATTATACGCTTGTTTTGAAAATGGAAAAAAGTCGCTGGCATTAGAAAATTTCAAATTTTTTTTTACTAATAAATGCATTACAAAAGTAATAACAGATGAATCATTGTTTCATTAAAACCGTTAACTCCTGATTAACTTTGTTTTTCACGATTCATACGATTGATGAAATAGAAAGTAAATAATCCCTTGATTGATTATGATTTTTGCCCCTAATTCACCTATAAGTCAAGAGATACGGAGTACAGTAAACATACTCTAATACAGTTGACTATTTTTGAATAGCCGAAACTACCTAAAAAGACGACGAACTGACTAGCGTAACTTCCATCAGGAAAAAAAACAGAGGTAATCCCAGGTCACGCCTTTTGCTTCGAATATTTTAGAAATCAGTCGATCGGTTTCAACTATTTTCTTGCTGATTCTCCAGGTGTATTCCAGTATTATCCTGGTAAACGATGAATTAAGAACATCTTTAATTCCAGGAAAAAGCAGTTTCATGATAGCAATTACGAGGAAAATGAAAAAAAAATTGAAATCGGACGATCGGTTTCAACTATTCTGTTGCTTATCCTCCAGGGCTATTTGAGTATTCTGCTGATGAGTAACAAATCAAAAATACTTTGTATTCCAGAAAAAAACTGTTTCAAGATAACAAGAACAGAGATAATTTAAAAAAGTAATAAAAATTGGCTGATCAAGGCCAACTATTTTGTTGCTGGTTCTCGAAGTGTATTTGAGTATCCTCCTGATGAGCAACAAATTCATAATACTCCGTATTCCAGAAAATATCGGTTTCAAGATAGCATGAACAGGGAGAATTTAAATAAAATATTGAAAATCGGCCGATCAAGGCCAACAATTTTGTTGCTGATTCTTGGAGTATATTTGAGTACTCTCTTGATGACCAACAAATTTGAAACCCCTTTTTATTCTCAGGAAAATCAGTATCAAGATAGCAAGAATGAGGAAAGAAAATTAAAAATCGGCCGATCGGTTTCAACGATTTTGTTATTGATATTCAAGGTGTATTTGAGTTTACTCCTGGTGAGCAACAAAATTGAAACACTTTTTATTCTAAGAAAAACTAGTTTCAAGATAGCGAGAACATGAAAAATGAAAAAAAAATTAAATCGGCAGATCGGTTTCAAATATTTTGTTGCTGATACTCAAGATAGCAAGATAGCAAGAACATAAAAATTGAAAAGAAGAAATTTCAATTTTTTATGCTATATCCAAGGTTTAGCAACTAAATAGCAACTAAATATTCTGTAAAGATCAGAGTAAAAGTATATAATTTATTGAGTTACCTTGATACCTTTATATAACGACATTATTTGCGATTTCTAGAGATCGACACGAGCAACAAAATCGTTTTGGCAACTAATTAGCAATTAATTAGCTACAAATTGATGTATTTTCTTCTGCAATTTTGCTGGATTTGCCATGCTAGCCTGATAGGGCTCGTATTTCAGGTTGTTAGGAAGATGACTATATATCTTGAGACATTATACAATATAGAATTATCAATCAAACTTGTGTTAGGTATGGAAAGACCTAAATTTAGGGTCTGGCGTGTGGCATAGGTTCATTCAGTACTTTGTAATACCCTGATTCTCTCATGAAATATTCAGGCATGATAAAATGATAACCTTTTTCTGAATAGTGTTGAAATTGATATATGAAAATTAAAAAATTTTTTTCAATCAGGCCTCTGCCTTTTCATTTTCTGAATTGCCATTAACTTTGAAAATGAAGATGAATAATTCCCATTATCTATGGCTACACAATATAATGAATTCACAATATTACAAAGTCATTTTTTCAAGAGAAACATTACATCGTATGATTGTATCGGGATTTCGGGGACAGGGTCCGACCGCCAAAATATTTTAGATGATAAAAGTAGCAGATTAGGGATTGATTTGTCAGAGAAAGATCTTCCTTATTCCCATATACGTAGATTTCTGATTCCTCAGAAGTGAAGGCCAATGACTTTTTTGAATGCGTGGTAAAAATTGTTAATTAGTCCAAAAAAGAGTTGCTGAATTGAAAGAAATCTTGCTTATCGATAGATTTATAACGCAGTACTCAATGCATGATGAGCGTAACCTCTCTATGGCATGACAAGGTATTTAATACAACATTGTATGAGCTTATCTGGTATTTGCACATATGCCTTGCCATACCCGAGGAATGAATAGCACTCTGGAGGGCTGCCTTCGCTCTGAAATATGTTCTGACTACAGTCCGGAGTGGCACAATTTCAGAAAGGATTTATTTCGGGCGACTTTTATCAGCAGCCATATTTTCCCATCTCATTTTCGCTGGCGATCAGGAAAATTCGAGAATGAAACTGTGACACCCTAAAAACCGAAATCATTTGTATTATAAGGATTTCCATCGGTCTTTCAAGAAAGTGAGAGTACGCACATGCTATGGGTATGGAGATCATGATAGACGAAAGATATCAGAGATCATGAATAGAAAAAAGCTTCATGCTGCATCTGGATGCTGAAGAGAAGTGTTACCTTGTGCTGGAAAAACTTCATTAACGTAAGGTGATGTCAGTGAAAAACTCTCTTTCTGTCCAACGGTTAGCACAAACTTGACCCATCAAGTTGCCGAGAAATAGTAAAGTTGCTGCTACAACTATGCTTGCAGTTCCGATCTCATTCCACTATGGAGTAGTGAAGTGGACTCAGAAGGAGCTGTGTAAGTTCAACGTAAGGACACAGAAATTTGCTGCATCTCCATAAAAGTTTGTATCTTGAACCGCTTGTTATGCTTTGTCTGAGATAACGGAGACCGTGGATTTTTGAGTTTGGGGTGATTACACAATAGAACATTTCTATTTGGAATCTGTAGCAGGAGCAGGACTCGTAGCATTATTTCTCAAGGCAGCTGTTCGAAAGTTCGATGAACTTGGTTTAGTTTTCGACACCAAACGAAGTGATCTCAACTCAGCAAAGATTTGTGATCCATCCAGTAAAATGCCCAGATGCATGAGTTTTGAATCTGTATGAATTTTTGGATTCAACGGTTGCACTGAAATCAAGAAGTGGAGCTGAAAATATAATGAAAAAGTGTAATATATATTGAAATGCAATATAATTGTGATTAAGTATAATTAGTAATGGAGAAGGTTGGCACAAGATGGTAGGTACTTTAAAAAGTTCGACAACCCAATAGCTTGTTCAACCAACTACCGGTATTCTCATACACATAAAGTCTGTTTTGAATAAAAATTAAGGTTTGGATTCAAATATAACCTTCTTTACATCCAGCATAATAATACGCAACAATTTTTTTCAATTCCCGGAAGACCTCAGGTTTGTTCATTCCTTCGTGAAATTAGACAGTTCCATAGGTTCATTGCGTTTTCCATCATCTTTTCATGCCACCCATTGTCACAAAATTGTTTCCTGTACTAAACTCTACGCAACGGAATGCTCCAAAATATTATCATGCATAGTGTACGTGATCTCCCAGACAAGGCTCCTTGTACAGAGTTGCACAAAAGAACGACCAAATTCTTTTTGTTGTTTCAATAATATGGTATAGAAAAATTATTCAACTGATGAATATTACTGCCTGCAGCTAAGGTCCAGTTGCTATCGTAATGAACAATGCATATTACTAGATTTTTTTTCTCAGCACCAAACCGTTATTTTCAACACCTCGACACGTGTTTCAATCACCATGTGATCATCTTCAAAAGAAAGAATGAACTAAGTAATGAAGAAATCAAAAACAATTCTGTTTATTCAGCATTAAATGAACTACAAAAAAATTAGTCCATTTCATTTCAGCAGGACAAACGGGTAAACAATTTTTAATATACTTATAATGACGTTTTATCGTGATCTTTTTGTCATTTCAGACCGATTACTCAGATGCTAAAGAGCTGCTACTGAAAGAATCATCATTGTGATTCATTATCAACGGATTTTTGTCAACTACAACTAAATATCGTATATGTACACCACACAGGTATTGAAAAGTAACTGACCACTTCGACACTGTTGCGATATTCCTGAAACAATGAATTCCGCCAGCCGATTGCAGTTGAATCTGATTGGCCGGCGTGAAGAGACTTGTTTATTTCACCTATAGATGCAAATGTTCGTGGTGATCATGCTTTGATCACGCATCTATCGTTGCTTTTTTGTTGGATGGATATAGTATAGTCTGTACATATCTCTTGCAGAACATATGTCATACTCCCCCAGATATATTCGCAAAAATTGTTCCATTCCCCAGGAGGTTTCTTGAAAACTGTTAATCATTACGTCATTTCTAAGACTTTGGATATATCCGTGTTATGATTTAGTTAAATTTCATGAAGAAATATCAATTAAAACAAGAAGGTTTCGAATGACTGAAAATCTAGTGTATATCTTATATTCATATTCTCAATTACATATGAGAACGAAGACAAGCTCATTCTACACTTCGTTCAACTATAGACAAGTCGATAACAAAGTTTATTCATTCATTGATATTATTTTGGCAATAATGAATTCCACAAGAAATTATTCTCGAGAAATATTTTATACTATTTCTGTCAAACTGCTCGGAATTTCATTGGTAATTTTCGAGATCTGATAACTGTAAGATCTTTTATATTGTTGTGTTTTATGCAAAGAGGGTGTTAAAAGCCGTTCAAACCTCAAGTTCAATATATGTACAACGGTTCGTAATTTAATTTCATTACAGAGATATTTTGGTATTTTAGTTTTAATTATACCATCATATTAGCTTACGGACTGTAGCAACATCCGTTTATCCATATTCAACCAGTTTATAACTTTCAAAGTATGGGTAACGCTTTCATATTTGCGAATACAGAATATCAATCTCAAACAAGAATTTGGTATTTTTTGTGTCCTTTTTTCCATAAAAACTGTGGCATTCGGAACATACAGACAATCTGCCAAATTAAACATTGATAAAACCAAGGTCTCTCAAAGCATCGATTTGATTTTCCTCGATAAATATTGTCTACTACTGTAAATGATTTTCAAACATCCATATGCTCTGCCAATTAGTTCATTCACATGTTTTTCAAAACCAAGATTCTCATCCATAATAACTCCCAGGTTTATAGCACAATCAACCATATCAATTTGTCAAAGCTAATCAGTGCTTGAGTTGGGTTACAGAATGCCTTTTTTATTTTATGTTTCAGATATTGTTGGTTTTCATTAAATTTGTTTACTAAGCATCTCTACTTATACTATGAACCAATTTCACTCTCTCAATGTCAAAAAAATCCTTCTGGGTTCGAAAGTATCATATATTAATTTGAAGAAGACACTCGAAGTCAAAACTTTCGAATATATTCTTTGACTATATTGTACCTATATGTATTGAAACTTTTTTGCTGAAATATCAGAAAGCACAGATATTGTTCAATATTATTTATTACCGACGTTATGTCATGGCAAAGCTATTATTTCTTTCAGTTCATTAGAGTTATCAAAATCCAAATGAAGTTTGTTGTTCTAGAAATATTCTCCGTAAAGATTCAGTTACAATTGTTTTTGAACAGCTTGTTGTTATTTTTTAAATAGTTACTTGCACAACTTTCAGATAAGAAAATGGGAGTTCAAATGACCAACTGCTGCGGCTTCAGCTTGAAACATGGGACCATCATAATTGGAGTCGTACAAAGTATAATTGCTTTCATGTTTTTGGTTTTGTCCGCTGCATATGCTGAAAATCCTCACGAACTGGTAGACATGTCCGATCCGTCCATCGTCCCAGATTTGACTAGTGAGTATTATTTAAGGTGTCCGTTTTAAGGGCAAGACAAAACCCTTCTGTTGAAAACTTGAATGAAAATTGAAATTGAAAACAATTATTGAATTTTTTTATTGAGATTAGGCTTTCCAGTTAAAGAGATGGTTGATATCCGTTTTCAAAATGATGGACAGCGTCATAATTGTGATGGAATTGCCGATATTTGATGAAAATCCATGACTCATTCAAGTAACACTACACGGTGAGATTTCCACTGGACAGTTTACAAAAGCGCAACACGTGTTTCTCTATACGATAGCTTCCTCAAGCGTTTTCATACTCTTGACTGAGCTATTGTGAGCGAAACACATGTTGCAGTTCAGTGATTTTTTTCACTACAGCTAAATTTACAGTCCTCAATTGTTGTTTTCAAGTTGTTTGAGGTGTCAACAATAATACGCATCCTATAAGATACACTCAGTATGAAAACAATGAGCAATTAATAGTGTGTAGGGTAGTGTAGATGATGTTTCAAACATCTCAATTGAACTTTTGTCTATCCTCTTCAAAGAAAATTTTGAAAAACGGTCTTTGTGTAAGTGCTTATAAAATTCAACCCGTACAGGAACTGAAGTCACACGATCATTCTTTTCACAGTAAATTTGGTGAAGAAATTATTCTTGACAAAAACATTTGACTAATGATCGGTGTATCGACATGGATATGTTGAACTGATTATTTTCTTTGGAATAATGAAAGGTTAGGTTAGGTCCAAAGTGAGTGGATCTATTCGACCCTCCACCGCAACCCTGAGGGGTTTATTGTGGCTCACACCTATTCACACTCGACCATATAAACCCAGTTTCTCAACGAAGCCGATTAGTTTGTATGGAAAGTGGTCTGTCAGGTCAGATGGTAAGAGTACGGCTCTGCCGAACTCTTTAGGTCCCCAGCGGGGCAGGCACGAAGTTTATGCTCTGCTGTTTCATCGTTGATGAGGTAGTCGAATAGTCTAGTTGCAAGATTCCTACGTATGCGGGATTTTGCATGTCAGCTACACCTAAGGATGGCTCAGATTCAACCGTGCAGGACTTTTTAGCCTCTGGTTCTGGTGAATCATCACTTGAGCGCAAACGTTTTCTAACCTGCTCATGGGGGGTTTGTTCCTCCACCTGAGATAGATTCTGCGTACGCCGCTCAAGAATGTGGTGCAAGGCAGTTTTATAAGATACTCCGCTCTTTAGGAGACGACTCAGTCGTCCAAACCTTTTTCTTAGGTTGAGTTATTGGATCAGGAGTTGGAGAGTTGGGAAGCTCTCGCTCCTGATCTAAATTTACAGGGAGGTCAGTTGGAGTCGTAAGCTCGGCATCCATCTCCTCTGTAGACTCAGCGTCAGAAAGAATTTTTGAGTTTACTCTGTCCATAAAACTCCCACGAGTAGCTAGAGAAAGAAGGTCAATCACGGCAAAGCTCCGCATTACCGTGACAAGGCGATGCTACGACGAGAGGGCGCCCAGTATCTCGAAGGTTCCGTAGAGACAGCTGATAGGCTCAGTGTCATTTATCCTCTCGGCACGGATACGCACACCTTAGGATTAAGCCATCGTTGGGATGCCATTCAGTTAGGAAATAACAGAACCACAAGTGATCCTGTCATTCCCGTATCCAGCGTGGCTACGTGGAAGCAGGCATCCGATGGCCGGTTTGCTTAACCCTCACATCCCAAGCCAATACACTCGCTGAAAACAGCATGCACAGTGGTTCAGGTAGTGGAATATGAACAAGGACAGGCAACCCGCCTTGGAAATATGTAAAGTTATTAGTCTACTCTCTGTTTAAACAAAGAATTGGGCACGACGAGTCCGAAAAATTTCAATGGAATGAAATTATTTGTGATTTGTTAAAAAAAACATTTCATAAAGTGTGTTTACGAAAATATTTCTCAGTAATCTCCATGTTCCATATAGACACTCTTTTCAGATTTTGGTACATCGACCATTGTTACTGGTCCTATATATGAGGATAATGATCCGTGTCTAGCACAGTTTTTCCGTTGATTATGATATCTGACTGTACTGACATTCAGAAAAGATTCATTTTATTCCTGTCCGTCAATTTTCTTTGTTTTCCACGACATTCCCAGACCATTCGATTCGAATCAGATTCGATTCAGTTTTGGGTTCAATAATGACCCATGTGCAGCCTGGCTGTCTGGGAAAATATCAATCTAGTCATTCCATTGGAGCCTGAAATGTCTGTTCCATGCGCATTGTGATATTGTATACATTTCAGCCTGAAAGACTGATGTGAATTCGCTGAGCGGTAACTGAAATGTACATGTTTTCTCGTGGATTTCAGCCTACGTTCTATGTTTGGTTTCCAACCTATCTGTATACCAAGTGTTTCTGCCGATCGAGTCTCCGGCATTACTGTTCACTCTTCACCTTTCATTATTGATGGCTTTGTTCGCGAAGTTGGTATTGGATTTATATTTTGGTGATTCAAGACCATGTTCGTTTCCCGACACATTCCATCACTTTTGTTTTGTTCGATCTGCTGTGACAAGATTAATTATCTAGTTTGACTCATCTCACATTCCTATTACTAGATGTGAAGGATGAACTCTCAAAAGAGTTTTCATTGCTTTCCTCATACCCAAAAGAGTAAGTCCTTCCACCTGTAGTCGTTTGCTTCAACTACGGTCACCAAACCATATGTTATCATAAATTCAACCATCGGTACATTATGTGTCCTAGGTCTTAGGTCAGTCATGTTATTTTACTTCTTTGTTGGAATCTATGGAAATAAACAGGTCAAAGAAAAATCCCAATTCTATTGTCCTCAACGAACAACTTGATTTAAATAATAGTCCTCTCCTGAACCTATAATCCAGATCCCAAAACCTACATTATATTGAAAGCTTTGTTATGTTCATGGATTTTACAGGTATATGAAACGCAGGTACCGGGTATCAGGTATATCAAATCATTTATGATGATAGAATAAGCAACATAGGTATAAATTACTCAGATTTAAATGTAATCAGTTAGTTTTGAAAATGGTGTAATAGCCGAAACCGGCCAACAATAATGAAATATAGTGGAAATACATAAAAAAAATCCACAATAAATTTTAATATGTCATCGTCAACGTTATTTCATTCACATTCAATAATTTCATATACAAGTTTTTTTATTTCACTTTTTTTTTCAGTTCTGAAGGTAATTCTCATCATCATATCCGTTGGAAGTGCTCTTCAATGTATGTTTTCCATTTTCCTGATATTTGGAGCTGAAACTGTAAGTATTAGGTGGTCAGTTCTCTGGACTTTGTGGAATTTTTGTGAATATTCCGTAATCAAATTTTATCACTTCAAGAACTCAACTATCGGGAGATATTTTAGTTAGTGGAAGAGATATTCCAAAAGAGATGTTTCACAAAGCTTAACAGCAGCCATAATAAAACTCAAATTCAGATAATCGTCGACGAAATTGTATCAGTCATTGCAGAGAGCTTGTGAAATGAATCAAAATAGCCCCTTTGATAAAACATCTTCATTGAATTGATGTTCGTTGAAGCATTTGCGCATTTTTCATATTACCATATCTGCAGTGCAGAATCAGAAAAAACACAAATTTTTAACAAGGTACCTCTTGGAAGAGAACGACACCATAATATAAGTGTGAACCAATAATCAAACAGTTATGATATTTTCTTTATTGCTGGAGCTACAAACCACTAATTATTATCATTGCGTAATCTGGCTGATATTGGGTTGGCGTTATGATTCATGTAATAGCAACTGTTGGATCTAAATGTTCCATAATTTCGCTACTGATGATATTTACAGCAAATCAAAGAACCCCTGTATCGCTGAAGCAACGCCTTAGAAATCTGGTTCTCTCTCCTCTGTGAAATTTTCAATATTGAGAAATGTATCAAAGTGGAAGTAGTTAGAAGTTGAAGAGAACATCAATGATATGAAGATGGTCATTTAGACAAAGGAATGTCACCTCTATCAAAAATACTGAAAACTTCGTAGTCAGTTAGGTTAGGTTAGCTTAGATCTGAAGTGAGTGGGTCTATTCGACCCTCCACCGCAACCCTCAAGGGTTTATTGTGGCTCACACCTATTCACACTCGACCAAATAAACCCAGCTCTTTAACGAAGCCGAATAGTTTGTATGGTGACCGGTTTTTGAGGTGATGGTAAGAGTACGGCTCTGCCGAACTCTAAAAACTTGATTCAGTCCCCCAGCGGGGCAGGCACAAAGTATGTGCAGAGGTAACACACACTGTCTTCCGACAATCCGAGTCTCTACATATGATGATTCAAATGACAGTGACCTGTAAGAAGGCCTTACAGGTCACTTTAGACATCGTAGTTCATCCCTACTATAGTCCAACAACTGTTTGGTGTCAAGCTCCAAAGGGTGAATGAAAGCTTTGGTGAGAGCCAATCCTGGAAGATTCTGTCAGAAGTCCATAAATCTTCCTGCCATCCAGGTGTTCAATACTTGATTGGCAAAGCTTAAAGCGATGCCAATGACAGGTTCTGGTCCGATGAAGCTGCTTGCAGCACCAGTCAGTAGATCATTCACATAATAATCACAGAGGTCATAGTACTATTTTTATCAACAATCAGTCTTGTGCAGAAAAATAACAACGTCCAATGTAGGGCAAATAATAATAACATATTGGGTGGTTTGTTTTCTGGAGTTTTCGTGTATACTTCTCCATTCAGAAGGATAGACACTAAGGAATTACTTCGGAACCATATGACGTGTGTGATAATTTGGTCCAAGGGCTTTTATAAATATAGCGAAAATTTCAAAAAGTGGGCCGTAGATCTATCCCGCACTTTCGATGTTAACAGTATAAAAACCATGTTGAAAATCAGATCTAATTTTGTTGAATTACCTGATTGACATTGAGAAAATAATCACTGCTAATGATTATTCTCCTTAAAGAACCAAAACAAGACGTTTCCAGTAGAATTTCATTCATTCATTTCATTTCGTGATTGACAGAGTGTTTATTAGTAGCAAGTAGATATTTCGAGTTTTTCTTGGAGTTAATTCGAGAAAAAACTATTTCGTACGTCCTGAAAGTTTTATCTTTTTTTTTTTAAATGAATCCAAATTTAACCTACTTCAATTTTGAATAACATGTAATATTCACCTTGTATCTACATTGGAATAGAAATAACAGTCGGCAGAATGATATTATTCAACATATTATGGTAGATTTCAAAATTCATAATATTTTGACGCCATATAATAATATTACAACACAAAAACAAGGGGTGCAGATAAGAATTTTGTAGAAGTCAATGAAAGAGTTTGCATACACCTCTCTTTATTACTTTATAAGTTTGGATATGGAGGAAGAGGATTCGCAGAAAAAAATGAACATTTCAATACAAATATTTCCAAAAATTTCAGTTATCAGACGTAGAAAACATGAAACATTATAAAGTGTACTAGTACTACCCATTTCAGTTGTCAAAGCTCACTTCATTTGAAAAAAATTTCGTAGATTTTATGAACTCAAATCAATCATTGGGCTGATATTCCAAACAACTAAGAAAAACTAGAAGTATTCTCTAACTACTATACAAAAAAAAGAAATAGAACTTCTCATGAACATGAATTCCGAGTTGATTCATTCCGTTTCTGAGACGCAGGACCTTGAAGTTGAAAAAAATCGTTTCAATAATATATTATGAATACTCCAAAATATTCAGTTCAATCAACAAGAAGCTCATTTTTGCTCTGACTAAATTGAACTCATCAGGTCCAGTGGCGTCCAGCGCATCACAGCCAATATTATGTGGGGAAAAGTACGCCGCTGCCTTTTGTGTAGAAATTGTATTGATGAAATTATCTCCATTAGACTTTTGTGGGAGATGAAAACCCTGATAATTTTGAATTTGTGTAAAAACCAAATATAGAAAATAAACCATTCTGATAATAGAAGATGAAAATGTTCACCTTTTGATAAAATATACAACTTCAATTGATTTGTCATTTATTATGCTAGGAAACGCACGTTGAATGGTGATACCTCGTTAATCTTCAGCTCGATTCGACTTCTGAGGGTTGTGGTCCGTAGAGGTTTGCTAGTTGAGGACAAAACAGATTTCAACAGACATATTTGGTCTGACACATTGAAAAATACCTGGAATATTCCTCATGACATTGCAATTACTGGATCCCCGAGTCATTCACATCCAGTAAAAAAGTTGCATCAACAAGGACTTTTAGATGACCACACGATAAGATATCTGAGAAATTCATTTCAGGTCTGCGAGCTGGCCAATTTTTAGTTGGTGCACGTTCAATCCAGAGTTATAAGGATAGTTGTCGTTGAGATGATAATGAGCGAGAATATCAAACTCACCAATTAATATCGACTCGTATAAATACGTGAACTCCTTTGAAAAAAATGGGTACTCGATTTGGACAACAATCTGTGTAGAATTTTGATCTTGTTGGTAAAAAAAATAGGCCAATTAGGTAGTCATTAATAATTTTCCCAAAACCGTATTAGCAAAAATTGACTTTCTTTCATAACGAGAAAATATTTGTCATGATAACATCTGGTAAAAAACTTGCCCCGTTCGTTAATGAAATGATTGATGAAAAATTATCATTTTCCATAGTATGAGTTGACCAAAAACAAAACATCATTTTCGGGTGAAAATCCCAGTAGAGTTTGAACCCGCTAAATGTTTATGGAAATAGAAGCGTAATTTTTGTAACTTATTTGTTTGAAGGTGGTTGACAATGTTTCGTGGTGTATTTCATTGTCTAATATAATATAAATTGATTTGATAACCCTGAAAAAATCAAAAAATCAAGAAGATCAACCGAAAATAACAATTTTGTTAAACAAAAAACTGAAATTACAACGAAATAACATACAACAACAACCAAACAAATAAAAATGGTAATATTATTAGAAGCTGAAAAAATTGAAAGAGTTAAAAATGTTATTAACAAAAAATAAAAAAATAATAATTGAAAGATTTCAAACCAAATTATGTCACAACGTTTCGATTGTTAGTATCCACAATCGTCTTCGGGGGATAACTGGACTTATTCCTCCGAGATCTGACTATTTCTAGGTCATTCTAGTACTTTCACCTAACCCCCCTTTCCGCTTCATTGGTTTTGGCGGGAGATGACCATTTGGCGGGAGTAGGTCGATTAGAGGTTTCCATAAGTTACGTATCTCTACGCTAGCTATCCCGGATTTGCTGGTTTCTCCTCGCTGTGTGTGCTCAGCAATGCGAACTTTCAATGGCCTCTTAGTTCCACCAATGTATGATTCTCCTCACTCGCAGGGTATCAGGTAAATGCCATTCTTGGAATTGCAGTCTGCGTTTGGTGGCCTGGTTTCCGTGAGGCTGCTACGGATAGTGTTCCTAGATCTGAAGCAGGTCCTGATGTTATACTTGGACCCAATCCGTCTCATCCTTTCCGATAATCCTCTGATGTAGGGAAGTACAAGTACTGGTTGTGGCGGCTTCTCTTCCTTGTGGAGTTCTTGCTGTTTTCCAACTAAGGCCTGTTCTACCATCACTTTGGAGTAACAATTCCGTTGAAGGTCATTTTTGATGATGCCTAGTTCCTTTTCGAAACCTTCCTTTGTATTACAGAGCCCAAAAGCACGGTACAGTAGAGTCTTGATGATTCCTCTCTTAGTCGATTGATGGTGGTTGGATTCCTGATTCAGATACTGTCCTGTGTGAGTGGGTTTTCTATATACAGATGTCTCCCATTTAGTATCGGTCGTCTTCACCAATACGTCTAAGAAAAGCACGTTGTTCATGTGCTTCAGGAAAGTGTCTAGTTCTGCATTCCCATAGTTCCATATTATGAAGGTGTTGTCTACGTATCTCAACCAGACTTAGGGCTTCTTTTGGGCTTCTTCATTGGTCAAAGTTTCAAACCACTCCATATATAAATTGGCTATGACAGGTGAAAGTGGCGATCCCATTGGCAGTCCCTCATTTTGCGTAAACAATTCGTCTTTCAGTTGGAAGTAGCAGTTTCGTACACAGCATCCTAGTAATTCCATGATAACTTGTATCGGTAAGTTTGTTTTATTTTTCAGGTCCCCATCTTCGAATAGCTTCTTCTGTATGATTTGAAGTGTAGAGGCTTTCCACGTCGAAACTGATCAGTTGATCCTGCTCTTTGACTTTGATTTCCCCTAGTAGTACAACGAAATGCCTTGAATTTTTCACAAAAGATGATGTTTTACCTTGCAGTAGTTTAATTATTGGTAGTAAAAATCTGGACAAGTTCTGAGTGGCTGAATCTCTGGAGCTAATGATCGGTCTGAGCGGAACATCCTTTTTGTGGATTTTGGGTAGTCCATACAAGTGAGAGGGCTTACTGTGGTGCGGTGTTAGCGGTTAATTTTCTTTTTCCGTAAAAAAGACTTGGTATTTTTTCAAAGTCTGGTACAACTTATATTATATTAGACAATGGAAATCCGAACTGATGAAATAGGCATCTCCCCTTCCCAAATACTCCTGAACTACTTAGGTGAAATTTGAATATAATGAATGGGGTAGAAATGTGAATACCCAGTTTGAAACCAATGAGCAAGTTTTTCTAAGATGCCAAAAAACTTTATTTTTCATATTAATGATTTATAATAAAGTAGCTTAAATTTGTTGTAGAAAACAAGGCTGGATACATGTAGTGAAAACAAAAGACAAAACAATTGTTTTATCAATTCCTCATTCCAGAAGAATTGGAACTGCAAAACACAAGACAGTGAAATACCATTGTCCTCAATATTATTGAGACGCTACTTGACCTAATAATTTCAATGAAGCTATGGTTCAAATTGGCACCTTATCACTTCAAATAAGTGCATCAAATTTCAATAAACTCTATTCAAGGATATTGAAGATATTTTATGAATACTATTACATATAACATAAAAACTTGTTTTTTAATAAAGTTCTAAATTTTTGTCTCATATTTAGGAAACACACGATGAGTACATTTAGGATATGAATGGATTGTTTCGTTAAATAAAACTGTCGTTCATATTCAATCAATGCATTCAATAATAGATACTTCAGATTCAATGAAGTCTTTTCTCTTAACGTGCGATTCTTATCGGCGAAAATCAATGGACTCACTCATGTGAATAATGGTTCACAACAATCAAGATTTAGCATGGAATTAAGATGAATTGATGAAGGTATCTTATTTGTTTTCAAATTGTTCATCATCCAAAATGAAAGTAAATGAAGCAAATCACAATGAATCGTGCATGATTATTGTTTTTTCAGAATCGTCCGGGTCTTTTGACACCATGGTTGATATTGAATCCTATAGCACTTGGTGTCTACATCTTGGCCACTCTGACAGCTATTATTCATCATACCAGTTTGAATATGACGCCTTTCATCATTGGACACATGCTTCTTGGAATCATAATTGTTCGTAAGTAGAGTTATATAAAAAAATACAACGGTGAGAAGTGAAGGTTTTTGAACTCCCAACTGTAGTTATATATCATTAAAATGTAAAATTGGAATCTTTTTCTGAAGGAAACATCTAAGGTACACTGGTGTACCTGGTAAGGTACACCAGTGTACCTTAGATGTAAGGTAAGTGTACCAGTGTAAGGTACACTGGTGTACCTGGTAAGGTACACCAGTATACCTTACCAGGTACACTGGTAAGGTTCTCCTGATTTTTCGAATCATAAATGTATATTCGCATTTCGAAATTTCGAAAGTTCACTATTTCACTACTCTTTTTTCAATGTGATGGGTCAGTGGTAGGTAAAATCTGGTAACCCGGTAACTATTGATAACTGAAATCTGACGTACAGAAAAAATGATACTCTGAAAGTATGCTACAAGATACTTTTCTTCCTTTCCTTAGTTGGATTAGTAAGCGCACTTACCAAAATATTTCGACATGTAGATCAAAATTTCAATAGAATACGCCATTTCAACTACGATAGTCGTATTCTACTGACATCCAGTAGACACCTAAAATTCAAAACGGGGGATGATCAAAGGATGACGACTGTGATTGGCTGGTGAAGGAATAACTATGTACAGCTTGGCAAGTCTCTCTGCGCCTGAATATTGGATGAGCAGTAGATCAGCTGAAAGAGTGATGCGGGAGCTCGTGTTAGTACAGTACGTGGACAAACTATTCGGTTTGGTGAACTATGTACAGCTTGGCAAGTCTATCTGCGCCTGAATATTGGATGCGCAGTAGATCAGCTGAAAGAGTGATGCGGGAGCTCGTGTTAGTACAGTACGTGGACAAACTATTCGGTTTGGTGAACTGTGAGTTATTTGTTGTTTATTGAAATGTCTTCTTACAGTAAACTGAATAAGAAAATTTATGCAAGTGGAAGCAACTGCACATGAAAGAAGAATTACTCTCACGAAGATAAGAAGTAATAGTATCAATTAGTAAAATTGTAACCGTTATTACATATTAACTTTGAAAGTTCAAGAACGAGTATCTGAAGCCACAGAAGTTAGCATGTGAAATATAAGAAAATGCAAATCAGAGATGAATAATATGTCAACATTGTGATAATGCTGATGGGGAAATCTATAAAACTATCATACGAGCCTACTGTCAGGGTAACAGAAATTCATAAGCTTGAATTTCGATTGGGAAAGCTAAAAGAAAAGGTAAAAATATTATCGAATGCCAACCTACCTATTCGATTACTCAAGATAAAATTCTTCAAGTAAATGTGGATCTACAGAGAAAAGTGTTGACATTTCATTCATATGAATTAAACATAATATATTCACGATACACATACAAGTGTCATCATGGGAGGTCTGAAAAAACCTGATAGTAAAGGCCATCGTCTGATCATAATACATGCGGGAGGTGAAAATGGGTTTGTGCTTAATGATTACATTGGATGTAAATCAAATAAATGCAGGTGGTTTCATAATAAACATATAATGAAAACATCGTCAAGATGTCACCAACATCGATCAAAATATCCAATATGCAATCATAGTTATCGGAAAGAAATATTTTATTTGAAAAAAACATGCTGAAACCTGAATTTTATGCCCTCATGAACAACTTCGAGACTATCTTGGGTGCTGAAAAACATTTAGAATGAAATACTTAGCTATCCAAATTAGGTTTATGCACTGTAAACGTGTGCAAACTTGTAATAGTAGTTGAATAAATTCAATGGCCAACTTCTAATTGTCAATACTTTATCATATTTGAATGTTTGCAATTTGATTATTTCCATTGAGTTACTATAGAATCGTTTTTGTCCATTGATTAACTATAGAATGGAAAGGGACCCAGTTATTACAGTTATTTTTATTTAGTGTGTCATCATGATTGGAAACTTTCAGAAATAATGAAAGATTGGAATATGTGAAGTTTTGTCTGCAATTATTGTTGTAATACAAACATCATTGACTGAAATGCTGAGATGCTCTGATATAATCGAAATAAAAAATGTTATAGGGGAGCTCTCATTGACGCGTTTTCATTGTTAATATTTCACCTGGAATAACTTAAATTCTGAACTTCAATATAATGATACATAATATATTCAACGTGCCAGTAACACTCGTAAAATTCAACGAGCCGCATTGAGATTGATATTATTGAAAAACTTGAAATTTAGGCTTCGGGCACGAAAATCGCGATGGCGACTGCGGGGTGACGCGAATCGAAGCGATGAGGATAAGTATTCCGTGTGAACACGAGAGCACCGCTCATTTCGTACGCGTCACCTATTCTGTCGATGTTGTTGTATATATATAATATAATACTAGACAAAGGAATAGATATGTCATTCCCAAAATGAATAAAACAGTTGGACAGAAATGTTTTCATCATATAGCACCTAAAATATATAATGACCTGCCTGAGAACTTAAAATCTGAAACTTCTTTGAAAAAATTCAAAATACTGTTAAAAAAACATATATCAAGTAAAGAAAGAATAAAAATACGAGAATATATTGATTGAATTCCGTATAGTACCTCTACCTTACTTCGCTTATTAGCTTTTAATAAAAAAAAAAAGGTTACTTTTATATTCCCAACTTTCATATTATATGTAACTTAAGGATTCATTCTCATCTATTTTATTTATTACATTTTATATTTTATGTCATATCATTTTATTATTGTATTTACTTAATATCATTATTCGTTCCGATATATGTATTTCGTATTTCATTATATATTTCTTAATATTTTTAAATTTTTTAAATACACACAGGTTTGTAACCTCAGTGGGATTTTGAATTTATTCTCAAATCACTTAAAATTGTATTGATTGTTATTCTTACATTCTAAGTCTTAAAATAAATAGTATGTATGGTTTCCATTTCATATTTGAGAATGAATGATTTGATTTGATTTGATATCGCTACCTTTCCGCCGCGTCGTATCGTCTCGCTTCGCTATCGCTTGACCATCGCCATTTTCGTGCCCGCAGCCTTATACGTCAAGACAGATAAGCGTTGTATATGCTCGCAATCGTTCTTCGAATGTAATTCTGTGAGTTTTGGGACAAAAAACCTATCTTCAATATGTCAACAACATCTTTCCGGATATCTCACAAAAACATTTCAGTCAATTCTTACTTTACAACTTCATGTCTTCGTCACAATAGAATAACATAAAACACACTCATACATTCAGTTGATTTCATCCCACCCATAGAAATTTCGTTCATTTACCATTCACTATAATGTGATCATAATGAGGAAAAGAGAATTGAAACTTTCTATGTTTTTTACCACTTTTATTCGTAACTAACGTTACTACAATTTCATCCTATATGGACATTTTTGAACTTATATATTAAACTAACAATGATTCATCACATTAGCCATTCGGGAATGGTTTGAAAACGTCGAATCATTTTCATCTAGTCTGAAGGACCTTTCATGTTAAGCATACCGTCGCTACCACTTAAAAGGTAGATATATGCTATCCCGGACTATTTGAGATAAACAATCTTACTATAGATGATCTGCATGTAACTCCAACGGTATAGGCAGCGCACGCCAAGGAAACAAGAATTTTTTCGACTCACTTATAACTTATTATGACCAAAATTACACAAAACCTTTGTGAATTGTAGCCTATATGTGATTTTGATGTATAAGCTGTGTTCATTATGTAAGGTTTCATCTAAGTCATCCATTCCCTCAAACTTTCAAATTTATATTAGTATAGATTCCGTATGTAACTCATTATGCCCGAAAGGTTCATGTTATCGATATCGGTGTAATCCCAGATTAAAATCCATTCGTCGTCCCCCTCTCAGTTCTTCTTCTTCTTCTTTTTCTTCTCTAAATTCGTCTGGGGGGCGCAGCGGTCTTGCTCGAAGCAATGCTGCCACACCTTTTAAGTCACACTTTTTATGATGAAAAATATTGATTTTTTTGATTTTTTTTCAAATATATACTGAATGGGTCGCCTTCTCTTCGGGAGACCTACGGATTTATAATTCACATACATGGCCCCTTCACGTGGTTATGCGAAACACCCCGGCCTGGATACCGGCGTGAATAAAGGGGCCCTTGAACTTCACCAATACAATGGACTAGCACAACAAGCCCCACGATAGCACATGGCATCCGCATACCTTCTTTGTGGGCGGACGTTATTAGCACATCTGTCCACTACCACGGCAACCACGAAACTTCCCTAGCCGATGAAAATTGTTTCATAATGATTGCTTCATATGAGTATGGAATATGTAGCACATATAAGATGTACAAGGCACAGTGAATCTAAAAAAATAATCCGTCTTTTTTTTTCAGTAATCGTGGCCTACAAGATAATGTGCGTTTGGAATTTCTACAAGCACCTGAAGAGTCTGAATTTCTGAGGAAATCATGGCCGCAATCCAAATAACTTCTTCATTCTTGGAAATAACATATCTTATAAGCACAATAATAAGTGTTACACAGCCTTTTTCAGATTGCTAGTGTAGATTTTATTCAGTATTTCAAAAAAATATGTCACACTTTCAAGTAGTGAATGGAATAATATTTTTATTAAACGATTTCAGGTGAAAATACACGAAAATTTGAGTTCTTCAAGAATCCTCACCTATTATTTTCACAACAATTCAGTAATGTACGGAAATTTGATTTTCTTTATTAGATTTGCTTTAAGCAAGATCAAAGTACAACTCAACACATATTAATAAATTGATGGATGCAGCCGTTATTACGTGGTAGGAAATCATCATGGAGAATTGAAACTTTTTGTTTTTTACAACTTTCATTTGTAACTAACGTAACTGCAGTTTCATCCTATAAGGAGTTTAACGTATGAGTTTGAAAATGTCCTTATTATAGGATGAAACTGCAGTAACGTTAGTTACGAATAAAAGTGGTATGAATGAATTAACTTTTATTATTCCTCTTTGTTTTGGTTTACATTTTGTTTATATTTTACAATCTATGGTGCCCTACTGTAGGCTTATGCCTCTTCAGGGCAATAAAAGTGGTAAAACACATAGAGTTTCAATTCTCATTTTTCATCACCATATATTTCATATAATTTTTTATGAATTTCCCCAGAAAAAACAGTAAACTGGTAATTCCTAGAAAAGGCATGTGATATAAACATATCCAAGAAATATATTATTTACATTGTATAGCAATTTGGTGAATGATATATGATTCATTTGAATAACGAATGTTTGAAATACAAACTGTGAAATTTAACGTTCATATTGAAGTAGTTGTTTAGAAAGTACCTTTTCTTTCCTGTAATTCAATGTTTATATAAAAGTATTCGTTTTCATTTCTTTGCATGATCATTTTGAAATAAATTATTTTCTTTCTTCCTTTAGATATTTTCCACATTTTTGTAAAAAGTTGGAAAGCCAAAACTTTTCTAATTTATAAATTTCTAAATGATTGTTTCATTGATTACTCATTAAAAAAAAATCACGGAAAGTACTTTCGAAGCTGAATAGTTTATATTTCCATTCACGATTCTATTTTCAAGATATTTTTTCTTATTAGTCAGTGGGCTATGCTTGAAGACTGGCAGTAAACAAATCTAAAGCAAATGAACTTTAAACGTTCAAGCCAGTCTCTATATACCTACACAGTAGGTTTAATGGACTGACGCCTATCAGAAAACAACTACTCCCCTGGCTAATACCACGAAGGGCATTGGATTATATCCGACAGGCGTCAGTGCAGTAATCTTCACAGAAAATTTCCTGCACATGCAATTGACAATACAACTGAAAGAGTCGACCTTCAATTCTGTAACGGGCACACTTGCAGACCGTTTTTGGGCTTATTAGCCACTCATCAGTGCAAGATAGTGACCATCATCGACCTAAAGTCAATGATATTCCACAATTGAAAATCGGAATTCTTTCAGAGTATTTCATTTCTCTTCCGAAGTTGGAGCGAACATCACAAAATGTCACTTCATCTAGTGGACGAGGTACTAACCAACTCCATATCCGTAATTTGCCCGATTCCTCTGAATAAGGAAGAAAAACTTTCTTATTAGTCAGTGGGCTACGCGAGAAGACTGGCAGTGAAAAAAACTTAAGCAAATAAACTTTAAACGTTCCAGCCAGTCTCTATATACCTACACAGTGAGTTTAATGGACTGACGCCTATCAGAAAACAACTACTCCCCTGGCTAATACCACGAAGGGTGTTGGATTATATCCGACAGGCGTCAGTGCAGTAATCTCCACAGAAAATTTCCTGCATATGGAATTGGCAATACAACTGAAAGAGTCGACCTCCAATTCTGGAACGGGCACACTTGCGGACCGGTTCCGGGCTTATTAGCCACTCATCAGTGCAAGATAGTGACCATCATTGACCTAAAGTCAATGATATTCCACAATTGAAAATCGGAATTTTTTCAGAGTATTTCATTTCCCTTCCGAAGTTGGAGCGAACATCACAAAATGTCACTCCATCTAGTGGACAAGGTACTAACCAACTGCATATCCTTAATTTACCCTATTCCTCTGAATAAGGAAGAAAAACTTTCTTATTAGTCAGTGGGCTATGCTTGAAGACTGGCAGTAAACTAATCTAAAGCAAATGAACTTTAAACGTTCAAATCAGTCTCTGTATACCTACACAGTAGGTTTAATGAACTGATGCCTATCAGGAAACAACTACACCCCTGGCTAATACCATGAAGGGCGTTGGATTATATCCGACAGGCGTCAGTGCAGTAATCTTCACAGAAAATTTCCTGCATATGGAATTGGCAATACAACTGAAAGAGTCGACCTTCAATTCTGGAACGGGCACACTTGCAGACCGGTTCCGGGCTTATAAGCTACTCATCAGTGCAAGATAGTGACCATCATTGACCTATAGTCAATGATATTCCACAATTGAAAATCGGAATTTTTTCAGAGTATTTCATTTACCTTCCGAAGTTGGAGCGAACATCACAAAATGTCACTCCATCTAGTGGACAAGGTACTAACCAACTGCATATCCGTAATTTAACCGATTCTTCTGAATAAGGAAGAAAAACTTTTTTATTAGTCAGTGGGCTATGCTTGAAGACTGGCAGACCATCGTCGACCTAAAGTCAATGATATTCCACAATTGAAAAATCGCACTGGGGTCTTCACCAGTGCGAGGAATCGCACTGGGGAAGACCCTGTTGCGTGTTCATGAAGTTGTGCCGGTCAGGGTCATGAATGTCGACTACTTTCCCGTGACCTTGAGGAAGGGAACAATGCTGGGGCACGGTTCGTCAATTTCGTCTGTGATACGGAGTGTACGCTGTTCAGTTAGCCAAGCCAACAACTTGCCTAAAGAGTTGGAGAAGTTAATCGATATTTCCTCCAAGGACATACCATCAACTCACCGATCTGAATTGAGGGAGTTAGTCAAGAGGTCCCAGGAAATATTCGATATTGGAGAAGGAAAAGGCTGCAGAACGAATGTGGTTCAGCATAGAATCGACACTGGGATGCCCGACCAATCCGGCAATCAGCTAGAAGACTCCCTCTTGACAAGAGAGAAGAGGCAGACAAGATAGTCAGCGATATGAGAAAAGAAGGAGTCATCGAACCTTCTGACAGCCCCTGGTCTTCCCCAGTCGTGTTAGTGAAAAAGAAGGACGGCTCGACAAGGTTCTGCGTGTATTATCACCAACTAAATCACGTGACGAAGAAATACAGCTACCCTCTTCCAAAAATCGACGACACCTTAGCAATGCTAGCCGGCTCCACAATTTTCTCGACTTTGGATTTGAAGAGTGGATATTGGCAAGTTGAATTGTCTCCAGAAGATCGAGAAAAGACTGCTTTCACCATCGGCTCAGGATTGTGGCAGTTCGCGGTTATGTCATTCGGGATTTGTAATGCTCCAGCGACCTTCGAGAGATTCATGGAGACAGTTCTCAAGAGGCTCTCATGGAAGACGTGTCTAGTGTATCTCGACGATATAATCGTGGTCGGAAAATTCTTCGACGATCACTTGAAGAATCTGAAGGAGGTAGTCATGCGTCTGAGGAGTTCTGGATTGAAACTCAGTCCCAAGAAATGTCATCTGTTCCACAAGGAAGTCCGTTACCTTGGCCACGTTGTCTCTGGGGAAAGGAGTGGCGGTAGACGAACAAAAGTTCAAAGCAGTTAAGGATTGGCCCATTCCAAAAGATATACATCAGCTTCGAAACATCCTTGGTTTATGCACCTACTACCGCAGATATCTGCTGGGGTTTGCCAACATCGCTAAACCATTGACCCGACTCACAGAAGGGCAGATCCTGGAGAAGGTCGTACATGGGGTAACTCGAGAAGAGCCACGAGACCTTTCCAAGGTTTCAGTTGACTACGCACCAGCTCACTGCGTGGCAGAGGATCTTCAAATGTCCAAGGGTATCGCTGTGGTATTCAACAAGAAATTCGGTCAGCTCCAAATATTACGAGAACAGAATCCTGATATCGGACGAGTGCTACCGTTGAAGAAGGGTCAGAGAAACATTTTCTACTTGGTGACCAAAAAGCATTCTCGAGACAAACCGTCCTATGAAGACGTCTTGAGGAGTCTTACTAGACTGAAGGACACGATGTTCGACCAGAGTCTCGTGGACTTGGCAATCCCGAAATTAGCCTCTGGGCTCGACAGGCTGGACTGGAGAATTGTAAGAAGCATGTTGGAAACGATCTTCAGATCCAGCGGCATCAAGATTTTGGTGTGCGGTAACCATCTTCCACGACCCAGTATGAAGACTGTGTGTTATTTCCATCGAACTTCACAGTGCAGATTTGGGAAGTCCTGCAGGTATCGACACACGCCAAGAATGAAGAAGGGGGCAATGTAACGGATCTGAAACCGGCCCTGACCGATATCTCAGCCAGCAAACGCATGACATCATCGCGAACCGCCGCGAGTACAGAGACCTCTAGATAAATCTTGAACAATCGTTACCGGTATATAAAACCTGCTTTCCGTCCATAGGGAGAGTCTGTATCTAGAAAGCGAATCAAGCGGTTAACAAACAAAGAAGATAAATTAAGCATTAGTTGCTAAGCGGTGTATATAAATTAGTTGTGATAGTGAAGTATTGGTAAAATAAATTTGTTCAAGACAGTTAATTTTTTATTTCGTTACAATATTGTAAGGAGCATTTGCCCCCCTTTCCGTTTAATTTTTTTCCCAGATGGCGCCCATTCACCATCTTGAAATTTCATCTGTCAATTTCACTTCAAAATAAATTATTCATGCATTAAATTCATTATCCTAAATTTAATTTATTTGAGTTGACCCGTTCACAAAATAAAAGAGGGGGATATTAAAGAAAAGCACTGTATAATTTTCATCCCCTTCTCTTCGAATTGGGTAAACTTCCTTCAAAGCTAGGCTGTATAACTTTTTTAATAATGAAGAAATTATTAGACTGCTATCGTGATCATTGTTGACAGTCATTTGTTTTATTATGTTCAGTTCTTTATTGAAATTCACCTCTGACAAGGGAACATTTATCAGTCTGAGGATCATACTGGTTGAACGCTGCTATATAATATCTGTATGTGCTGGTTTACGATAAATTAAAAAATCATGTTCGTT